ATTGTTTTGGGGCACCATCTTTAGGCCTACCCTTGCCATTGTCCACTCTGTGAAATATGTGCATGTTTAAAATACCCATATGGAAGTACATTTTCACATAGCATGCATCTCAGTTACACAAGCCAAAAAGAATCAGACATTTATGGAAGGTTAATCTACACTGGTTAGGAAGACAAGTGAAGCTCCACCTGCCTTGCACTACTACTCTGCCACTACATGCCTGCTGCCAACCAGTGTTAGCAGCAAGATCTGAGTGATCTTCAGCTTTCCACAATGACAACATGTTCATATCCTCCAGAGAGCTTAGCAACTTATCGGACATCTTGCCAAGTATTTGGCTCAAATGTTAAAGTCACTGACTGAAACACTACAAAGCAAACAAATGAATAAGCAGTGAAAACTCACGATCCCATTGCAGCATTGCCAAATTATCACCTAGTATCTTAAGCAGTGTTTTTAATCTCGAGCATAGTTTTCTTATTAGCTGATGGAAGGGTGGCAAGCCTACAGAGGAAATTACCCTGAGCTTCAGAAAATAAGGTATGTTCCCCTTACAGCAGCAAGAGATTCAGGTTACCCTGGGTGTACACTCTGTAAATGTGTATATTTAATGAAATAAGTTTGAATGTTTCAACAAAGGTGAATCACTCATGTTAATGCAAGTGCAATCAAAGCTATATCAACACCTTTATTTTGAAATTGCATTTTATCAGATCACTTTCACTCTAGTTTCACCAAGTGAAAAAACCTGTGTCAAGGATGGCCCCAGTGAGGTAGCTCCTAAAACGAGCTCCTGACTTCGGGCTCCAGGCTCCTGCTCACCGTCTCCCTCCAGAGGAGCATGGAGCTGTTGGTGCTTAGAGAGCAAGGGAGCTCCTTGGACCAGTCTTGAGCTAAAGCACCCTTTCACATGTTTGCTGAAATGAGTCTGGCTGTTTTCCGCCTTCTTACACCTCTCTAAATGGCCACATTTTAAAATACACACATACAAAGCGCACACGAGAACATTTCACATTTGGTTTCTGCAATGTAATGGTTTTGCTAGCTTTGTTATGGTTTCTTGCACCAGATGTAGGAATGCTCAGACATATGGAAAGGAAAATCAGCTACAGCAAAAATGAGCTAGCAGTCGCTGTTGCAGGTTCCTTGCATATAGGTGAAGAACATCAAAGATAGTGTCAACCAATAACCAGAATGATTTAGATAACCACTGGCATTTCCACCTTCCTTATAAACAGCCTCAGCTCAAAGCAGTGTAATGCTAGGCCATGCTTGCTCAGTTCTTCAAAGGAAGCAATTCCAGAAAAATCCTGATGTCAACAGAAAGAAATGTAAGCCTCTTCACAGCCTAGTTCAGGTCTGTCCACCAAAAAAAAAAAAAAAAAAAAAAAAAGGATTAAAATGAGTGTTCCTAGGAGCACTCCAGCCTTAGAGATATTACGTAGGACAACGTTTTAAAATGATGCAGAACTAAGGGAAAATTTAGACATGGGACAGACATCCAGACATCCTGTGGACACACTTGGACTAGCTTTCATCTCACCAGCTTGCTGACTGATGGCAAGACACCAGCACGGTCGAAGTAGTGGGTGGAAAGAGCCCTGTGGAGTGCAGAAAATGCCTGCAGCTCTGACATTTACTCTGCTTGGCTGTTGCTGCCCCAGGGATAAAGACATGAGGGGGAATGCCCTGTGTTGTGGAAGCTTGCCTGAGCCTTTCTGTGACATGTTCCTGGTCCCCTTCCTCCTCCTCATCCTCCAACACCAAGTAGCACCACTGAGAAGCTCAGGGGCAATATAGTGTGCACAGATGTCCATGGTGGTGTGAAGGGCACAGTCAACTGACCATATAAATAGCCAGCCTCTCCCTTGGATTTCAGTGGCCTCTTCCCAGTGTCTCATCTATCTTGCTTAAAGCTTGCATGTGTCCACAGCACACCATTCCCATGGCACCACAGGCAGTCTTGGTCCGGGAGACACTTGCTGGGGTGGTTCTGCACAGCAAGATCTGCTTTTCAAAAGCCTTGACTCCAAGTGACTTGGGGATCACTTACAGAAGCATACAGAATACTTTGTTTCAGAGCTCAATGGTCTGTTTGTGTGTTTACCAACCAGAGGGGGGTTATAGCGCACAATTTTGCCAAGGGAAAAAGGTGTTCCAAGAAGAGCAGCAGCAGCTGTAAGCAGGCTCTGGGAATTAAATAATGGCATCTTATAAAACTTCACAAATTGAGCCAATAAGTGTGCAATAAGTCAGTTTTGAAATTACTGTCTTATATCAAGTTTCTCTAATAAAAGTCAAATTTGTGCTTAGAAAAGCTTAAAGCCCATATGTAGGAAAATTTTATAACTCTAATGGGAGCCATGATAAAGCAGCATGTTAGTAAATACATGTGTAAGCAGCACAGTACAAAGAGAAAAGTAGCAATATGTTAATTATCTCCCTCCTGTATTATTTTTGTTGTCACTGTGGATGCAACTGCAGTGAAACACATGCATGGTCCTGACAGCTGTTCTGCTCCACGAGGAATAAAACGGCAGGAAGACTGGCAATGCGAAAGAGAGGAAACAGAGGCTTTTTTTCTATAAAGATATGTTATGTGTCCATCCAAAGATAGAGAAAAACCTATTTGAGTTCTTGGTGTCTGATTCAGAGACAACTTTTTAAAAAGAGATATATGGGTTGGAAAATAAATCTGTTTGATATAGCCTGTGGGGAAAGGCTTTATACCAGCACCATCATTACCCACTTATCTTGGAACCATTGCAAACCATCGTGCCAGCATTGACAGAGAGGTAGCCTCTCACATCCAGAAGGTCCATACAGCCCCTGGCAGGCACAGCAGGAGAGTGTGGAGCCAACCTGGAATCCGGTTCTCCTCCAGATGAAAGGTGAGCAAGCTGTGTCTGCTCTGCAGGTGTGACACTTGGACACCATGCAGAAGACACATCCTCTTGCTGGAGAGGTTCCCTGGATGGTGCACCCATGACATAACCATCCACTCTATGCAGCACTGCTGAGTAATGTCAGTTTATCCAAATTACTGATGGGTTGATTGTTGTCTATGCCAAAACTTCCCATTACCTAAAATAAAAGTGAGCAAACTCTTTTTGCTTCATTTGCTCTTAGCCATAGAGCAGCACCATTCTGTCCTGTCCAAAAGAGATAATTACCTCTCCATTAATAATACCAGAATGAGGCAAGCCAGATCTTCATAAACAGGTATTGGTCATCTCACTTGAACATTTTTGTGATTATAACATCTAACAGAATATCTTATATGAAAGTTGCCTCACTCCTTTTTCCAAAGAAAGAGCATATTCTTAAATAATGTATGTTTAAACAGGTTGTGCTTAAACAGGAAAGGTGGAAAGACAAAAGAATGAGCAGCATGACAAGGTGATTTTGTATGCTGAGTAGATCAGAAGATTACAGGATAAAAAGAGCACATCACGCATGCAGTCATTCCTGTGTCCTCCAAACCTCACTGACCTACCATAGCAGTCATAGAATCATAGAATCATAGAATGGGTTGGGTTGGAAGGGATCTTAAAGCCCACCCAATTTCAACCTCCTGCCATAGGCAGGGCTGCCCCCACCAGCTAAGGCTGCCCAGAGCTCACCCAACCAGACCATGAATACCTCCAGAAATGGGGCTCTGGGCAGAAGTCACCAGCTCACCTAGAAGACATTAACCATAATACAGTTAATAGAAATGTTCCTCAGGGAGAGGACTGAACTCAACACGGGCATTTAAGTCTGCAAGTCTTAGCGAATGCAGTGTCAATAACAGAAGTCCCACAATAGGTTATGTCTCTAAGATATACTTATCTCTTCACCATTTCTTTCAACTTCTCTCTTGTGGCTCTGGTTCAGCCTGTTGGATTTTGTATTTTTTTATTCTTAGGCATTTGACCCATGCACCGTACTCCATAAGCACCAACACTAATATATATATTAGATAATGTTTAAAGCCTGGACATTACAATGCCTACTTGTTTTTATGGAACTACATTTGGGCTTAATGTAGTAGACGGTCACCTTTTCTTTTTTTAATCATTTTGAGTTATAAAGCAAGGCCATATCAAACAATTTCCCTTATCTTTGGGAGAAAAAAAAAAAGTAGCTTTATAACCTTTTCTTATCACCAGGCCTCCCTCAGACCCACTGTTCCTCAGATTACTGCATGCTGCGTTGTTAGAAATAGACAAATTATATCCTCTTCCTGTGATATCATGACTAAAACTGTATAAACAAGTGTTTCAGATAGTGATGCACTAACAACAAGCCAGGTCATCCCAGTGTGCAAACGCAACAGGAACACAAAGTTCATGATAAGTGTTTCAAGAAAGTAATTCCCCCAGATGCAGCTGCTCTGGATTTAGAGATCAGAAAAACTGCTTTACCTGTTGCATTCCACCCAACTTTGATCACAACAAAGTATGCAAGCTTGCAAGCCTCTTTTCTTAGCATGATACTGCTTTAAGTATCTGGCTGACTCCTTGAGTAATGCCTGCTGTTGTAGTTTGTGTTGCTTTGATATTTCCTTTGGGTTTTTGCTTTTTGGGTACACAGATATGATGAGTATGTTGAAGAGGAAGGGTAATGGACACTGACTGTGCCCATCTGTCAGCTATGGATGGTTAGATGATCCCTGCTTCCATCAGGACCTTCGGAGTTAAGCTCAGCAGCCATTCATGGTCTTTTCCCCCAAATATATTAGCCAGTGCTTTAGAAAGCCTAAGCTCAGATCATGGCTTGTTCTGAAAACAAGAATCCAGGCTTTGAACTTGATTCATAATCCAGAGGAAAGAAAAAACAGCTTTCCTTCACATCCTTAAGATGTGCAGATCTCCTTGGTCTAATTTCAGGCAACCCAGTTCCACCCAAATCCCTGTCTATAGGGTGCCCTGTAGCTGGAGCAAGGCCTTCACAGATGCCAAGGGAATACAAAACACTAAAAAAAAAAACCAAACACAACAGATTGGAGAGAAGCAAGGTTTCCATTCCTGGAAGTTCCGTTTCACATTTTATTCTGCAGCACGTCCAAGATGGGCAGAAATTGTCTCAGTTGAGAGAAACTGCATAACAACCTACTACAAATAGCCTGAGATAATACACCTGACTTTCAGTAGAATGTTCAGCTCTCACACTCTGTATCCAACTCAGTTTTGGCTGCAATACTGGGCAGAAAGCTGCAGTCTCAGCTGAGTAAAATGAGAGGAATGTCCACATATATCTCTGTCAGATGTTCGAAGAAAGGCTAAGGTAACTACCCAGAACCTGAAAATCCAGCATCTGAAATAACAGATCTCAGCTTCACCTCCACAACATTTTACATCTGACACTGCAGAATTTCACTCATCATCTTGATTTTGTATGTACAAGTATATAAAACTGATAAGTTCTGGAGCAAACAGTACAGTCTGTTTCATATAATTATTCTGACAAATACATAATTCTGTAGTGGAATTTAAGTTGCATTCTTTTAGTACAGTAAATATATGGTGTTTTTGAAAATATTTGTGTTTCTCTACAGAGAACACTTTTGAAGCTCTTTCACCTTTGAGATATTAAGACATTGCAAAAGCATAACCAAAAGGTTTGGTCACTGTTTTTTCTTTTCCCCCAAATGCGACAATGTGCTCTGCTCTCAAATTGGAAAATACCGCTGTCTCTATATTTCATGATATCCTGGGGAATACAAAGTGATCTCTTTTATGGACTAGGACAGAGGGGCATTGGAACAGCATGTGCAGGAAGTCACAGTGCAGCCACTGGGGATTCAGGGAGATGCAAAAAAACCTCACATTTCTACTTACAATCCTATCTGGGAAGCAATTTCCCAATAATATAAGAAGATATATGGATAGCCTGACCTATTTTTTTGTAGAGACTCACTGCAGCTGAGTATTTCCTGTACTGACCTGGATCCAATATCATAGAACCTAATAAATCAGTTAATATTTCAGGTAACTAAAATATTAAAAGATGCCTTGAAGATTTAAAATTTTTCCACACATCATACTCTAGCTTAACAAACAAAGGTAATGTGAAGCATGTAAAAATTCTCCTCTTTCATTAATTTTTCATTCTTTTTTTTTTTTTTTTTTTCTCTTAAAAACTTTTCAGCCAAGAGAGGGAAAGCCATGACCTTAGAAAACGCTTTTCTCTTTACTACAGTGTTTGGAGACAATGTGTGTGGCACTTTTAAGTGATACATAATCCCCAGCTCTTCCCCTCAGTCTCTGAGGAATACATACAGCGTCTCTTGTTGTGGTAAGAGCAATTTCCCAGAATGCAGGCTTGCATCTAATGTTGTTCAGTTATTCAATGTTTCTGGTCAGTTATGGTTTGTCCACAAACATAGGAATTTCTTCTGTCATTTGACACAAGTGTCCAAATCTTCATTTGTGTCACATAGGCTCCATGGCAGTCACTCCTCATTTCTCCTACACGCGGAGACTCCGTATCACCACTCCAGGAATAATTACAGTTGGAATTGGCCCAGCTCCTTTCACTTAGTCGGGTTCTGCTGACTGTGATGTAACTGCACAGGCATCAACTGCTTAGCCCAGGAGAATCTGAGAATCTTTCCATTAAAAATAAAATAATTAAAAAAAAGAAGAAGAAGAAGAAGAAAAAAAAAAAGAAAGAAAAAGGGAATGCTGAAGCCTTTCTATTGTTTTCCTAAAACAAAAGGAACCCAGTTTCACAAAACCAAAGCTTTTATATTAATCAGAGGATCTGTTGATCTTTGCAAAGCACTACATTTCTTGAAAGATCAAGGAGCTGAGACAGTTAATATGATCTCTTAGAGAGAGCTTTAGTAGCAGAAAAGGGTTTGCTGAAGGCATTTTCCTATACTTGGGGTTTTAGATAATTTAATACACAACAACTAGGATGACACGCTTCTATGGAAAAGGTCATAATTCATTCCAGTCCATCTGCAAGCCAGGAATTCTAAGATTTGTATAAGTCTTTTGTAAAATGGCCAATTTCATGTAGAGCATGCAAACACTCAGAATTGCAACTGGCAGGAGACAAAATTCACTAACAGCCAAATGGATTTAAACTCCAATTCACTTGGGTTACTAGATAAGCACTAAATTAAACTTTACAAAAAAAAAAAAAAAAAAAAAAAAAAAAAATTAACACCAAAATAATATGTTCCCGTCAATCCATAGATATTAATTCAACCTAAACTGCATAAAACTCAATGTTTTGCATTTTTCATGAATATCTGATGTAGACTTGTTGGTTTTCAAGCTATCCTGCCTTTTCCAGGCCTGTAGAGGAACATACGCACTAAGGTCCGTGGTGTACTTACAGCTAGCAGCTTACTTACTAATTTTAGATGTGTTTCCTATTTGTAAATGTTCCTTTCACTAAGTGTGATTTGACTGTTAATTTCTTTCTTTTACTTGATATCATAGCTGGCATAATGTGCTTCAGGTTACAGGCTGGCACGCAGTAATCATTGCAAGAATCCAGAAAAATGCGCCTAAGATTTGAGCTAAAATTTCCAGTAATCAGCAATGAATTCATTGATAAAGACACATCCTTGTTGCAGATAAAGATATATCCTTGTGTTTGCGTGCTTCACTGTAACTACATAACATCATTATGTTATATATGGCTAATGCTAGAAGAATACATTTTAGTTTGGCGCTGGATCAGGGACTTATTTATTACCAGAAAAACACTAAAATGCTCTGTAGCATTCCTTTTTACTTTAGAATAAAGAATAAAACGATTGGAATTTTTTTCTCCATTTTATTTTCTTGATCAATATATAAATATATATATTTTAGCATAAATGTGGACTTGATATCATCAGCATAGTTTAAGAACACATTTTACTTCTAAGAAACGGATTATTGCTTGGGAAATGTTTAAGAACAAATAACCAAACAAAATCCTAACTTTTCACAAAGGTATTTTATAATTACTAGCTTTATTTTTAACAGTTAAAATAGGAGATGCCATTCCAAAATATTCTGCCTTTCGTTTAGAAAACAAATTATTAAAAAAAGTTCTCTGACCCTTAAGTGTTTCTAAACTTTCAGGTTTTAACTGTGCTATCCACAAAAGATGCCAGAATTTCTTATGCTTAGGTTAACCTGATCTTTTCCCCCTGAACTACAAACAGATCACCTACCCTAGAAGCAGTCAACAGAAAGACAAAACAGTCACAAACCTCAGCCTGAGAGCAGTGGCACAGCAGAGCTGCTTTGCAGTTATAGTGGAAGTGACCCTTAAGCAGCTCTCCAGACCACAGGAGGCAGGAGTGCGGTCTCTCCATCTCTCTTTATCTCGGTCTGGAAATGGCTATACACTGAAATCATTCATCCCACCCCAACACGCGTTGTGCAACCAAAGCAGCTATTCCACTGCCATTACAGCTTGATGCACTGTGGGTGGACCAGCATGAATTTCTGCCCACCTTGGGGTGGACTGGGGTACAAGTTGCCCACACATCAGTTGTGGCTTCATCCCAGAGGGAAATATCCCTACTGGCTGTCCAGAGCACATGGCTGGTGCAGCAGCCATCTCAGCCATCCAGTATTAATCCTCCGCTGCATCTGAGCCAGAGCCCCAAGAGTCCCCAGGGCAGAATAGCCATTTAATAGCAACGTTTCTCAGTACACTCTAAATTTGGCCAAGTCAAGCAGCTGCAGTCCTATGTTAGTCATTTGGCAGGCAGTTTGATCCTGCAATTTGTTGAGCACACATAGTAGTCCTTTAATGTAGTCCATTAAACAAGTCTCAGTGTATGTGAGTAGCTTTGGATTCGGTGGGAATACTTCAGCAACTGAGCAGTTTGGGTTTCAGGAGTTCTGTCCTGTTGAGTACATGGGAGTTTTGCCATTGAATTCCACTGGTGGGGGGTTCTTCTAGATTAGGAGGACTCTGTAGCAGAGCAAGAAAAAAAATGCTTGTAGGCATCATGTGTGATTAGCTTGGCATTTCTGTTCTGCAAAAGGAAAATTTTCCATGTGCAAAATGTGCACTTTAAGTTATGCAATTATAGTCACTGTAAGTGTCTCTTTCCTGACAGATGCAGACTAATTTTGAAGATGCCAAGCACCCCTAGGAACAAATAGCCCAGAGCTGTTTTGGCAGCATGACAACAACATGGTGGTTCCAGCATCCTTTTGACACAAACCCCCAGGGCATACAAGCCGTGGTACATCCAAACTGCCCTTAAGATACTTCCAGAGCAAACCTAGATTTGTTTTACATTAAGACCCACTGGAGTAAAATGAGAGTGAGTCAAGTTAAAGGTATCACATGCTTGCAAAGGCTTAAAATGCCGTTTTTCTCCTAAATCCTCCCAAACACATTCTTCTGGTTAATCCTGAGAATCCAGGGAACAAAAAGGCACTTCACGTAGTGTGGCTCATCTGGATAATGAAATATCCAGAGGAATTAGGTCTGGGAAAATGCTCTGATTTGCTGTTGTTTGAAGGCTGGATAAGTTAATAGTGTCACTGGTGAAGATAATCCAAAGAATTTCAGAGATAAACAGAGGCTGAAATGCTCCTGGGTTAATGGATAGCTGATGTTACACCTTGTTATTCCTTTTTAAAACTCTGCACTTATAAAGACTGTCAACAGCAACGGATACAGTGGACATAAGGGTGCTCATGTCCACCAGACAGCTCAATTTTTACCAAACTACCACATATTCTTTGACCTGCAGATATTTTTCCACACATGCTATACACATCAGTGCTGACCTACCCCAGTTTGGTTGCTTATGGTTATTGCCGCTCACAGAGCACCAATAGTGGGCTGGAGGATCTGCAGTCAAGCAGAAGGAAAGGTCACTACTGAAATAGCTTTCAAAGAAGAGGGCTGTCTGCAGCAGCAGATGCACGTCCTCACACACACTCCTGTGTCCCCCCGAAGTCAGCGGACTGCAGGAGGAGCAGATGGGGCTGCCTGCACAGAGCAGCAAAAGAAAGGTTCAGAAACACCCTGGGCCGGAGAGAGGGGTCAAGAACAGAGGAAATAAAAGTTCAGCAGAATAAGCTTTGCTCATTATCAGGGTTTGGAAGCTGGTTTGGCTGCCTATTTCTCCTCTGATTTGTAAATGCCTCTTTGAAAAGGAGACTTATAAACCACTTAAGATAAATATATTTTAAGAGTAGTTAAAAGAGGCAGAGCTGGCCAGTCACACTACGATAAAAAGACCATATTGATCATTGTTTTTAATAGCAGAAAAACAAAGCAAAACAACAACAAGAACAACAACAAAAAAAAAACCAAAACTGTGTTGGTCAAGTAATTTCTTCCTGCTGAAGACAGCAAAAATATTAATTGAACAACTTACTTGAGGAAAACTTTGGCAATTATTTAGTCAGCTGTAGTTACAGCTGAATTTATGTCTGTTTCCCTCCTCATTGTTATGAGAGTCTCCCTTGGGATCTAACAGTATGAGATAGTACAAAAATGCTTTTATTTTACTTTATTTTATTGCCTACACCCAAATGCTTGGTAATTGCACTAGGTTTTCTCAACATGACAAAAGAAGAACATGCTGAGTGTGAATTTTAATAGCAAAAATTATCTGAGAAACAAAAACTTCATTTTCCTAACTGCCAACCTCTTGGACACCAGCAAATAACAAAGAAAAATGTCACCTAGAAAGAGATGTCCAGCCAACACATGACCTGGCTTGAATGAGATGACAAAGTACCTAGAATCCAACATTCTAACACAGCTCTTAAGGTCACCAAGATGAAATCAGTTCCAAGCATTCCAAGTCTTGTACCTGCACAGCAAGCTGTAGGATTTGCATTGCAAGGCATCCGTACGGCCCCTTCTCCACATGCACACACCAGGCATGCACAGCGTTTTCACAGCGCTGGGAAAAACAATCACAGTGTGAAATGAAAAATGCAGCAAAGCCAGCAGGTGTCTGGGGACATAGCAGCATTTCCTCCCTTTATTCTTTTGCTTTTTCCTTCTGCTTTTATCCATCTCTTCCTTGGTGCACTCACATTCACAGCCACCCTCGGCCCTGTCACCACTAGGCAACAGCCCTCCTCCTGTCCCTACACACACGGGCAAGACAAGAGGATTCATGGGCTGAATGTGGTCTGCCCACCCAAAAGGATTTTGAAATATTCCCTCCAGGGTTAGCAAACAGCAGCCCTAAGAGCCCAAGCTCCACACTGTAGCCCAAACACCACTTACTATAATCCCTTGCTGCCTTCCGTGCTTGTATAGTACAGACCTTCTTGAGTTACAAGACACTTTGAAGATCTCACCTTCTCCCATTACTTGTCTTTTACATAAAATGTCCACAGATGTGAGTCTGCCGGTGTGTCAGAGGACTGTGGTTAATAATTTATAAACCAATGCTTCCTATTGGGCACGGTATGTAACACACAGGAGTACGGGAGTGGGCTGCCTTGCTGCAGGAGCACCCTCTGCTGACAGGCGGCTGCCCTGAGGTAGGATAACGGCCACCTAGACCAGGGTAGTGGTTGGATTGTGGCTATTAAACCCCTCATCCTGCAGCAAGCAGCAAGGCTTCTTGTCCCCAGCAAAGTACAAATGAGCAGGACTCTGGTGGAAATATGTGTAATATTTCCCCACGTGTAATTCTTGAGAACCCCACACAATGCAGCCCCAAGTTGTGAAATGTCGCTCGCAGGAAGCCCGGAGTTTCTGTGTGCACACTCCAGCAATCACACTGAAAAGGCTCTTCTTGAGCCAAAGCCACAAGGAAGTAGTCTAGACAGCTACACCTGAAAATAGGCCATTGTGTGTGATGGCGTATGCCCTGCACTCCTAATTCAGCCCAGGTCTGAGTGGAGCATGGGAGAGGATGTGGGCAGACAGATTTGCAGTGTGGAAGATAATTCCCTGCAGGTGGGAGTGATGCTCTGGACCAGCAGTCCCAGCCAGAGAAGGGTCCTCTCCCAAGGGGTGTGCACTGGATGGATCTTGTTCAACTCCCTTCCCATCTGTGACAGCTCTGGAGCTTGAAATTCCAGTAACAATGGTGAGAACAGTCCTACAGCATCGTCCTGCAGGGATCCTTGTAGTATGTCATCATAAATAAACAATTTGGCATAGCTAGGAATGGCTGCTCCATAAAGAACCATTGTGTAGCTCAAGAGCACTAATGGCAAGTGCTTATCCTTACTTCTCTTAGCACATCTATCTTTATGAGCATTGTCTCATTGCTGCTTCACTTTTTGGCAACATTTTTAATGTTTATAAACAGTTTTAAAATATTTAATGTATGTATTTAAATGCAGAAGGCTCAACACTAATTGGTAAGCCAACAGTTTGTTACATACATCAGAGATCCTTGAGAGATTTTAAATCGATGATAGATTTCAGATTCTCCAAACACAATACATAGTGTAAATGTTCAAGAAAAGCATTCCAGGGCACTGTGCAATTTCAGCTTGCTTTGAATTTTATTATGTCTTTGGACATTTTTTGTACCAGGAATGTGGATACAAAACCAAAACGTTCACAGCTCTCTAGGCATATCTTTACTGACCTGAGGAAGAGTTTGTGTGCCGAAAGCTTGTCTGCTTTTCCGACTAGTGCAATAAAAGATACTGCTTTCCCTAGCAAAGCTTGCCTCGTTGACTGATCAAAATGCTGCAAATGTTATTTCTAGCAGTGCCTTATTATTCAGATCAGAAGGCCAGCTTTAAAAGTCTATGTTAGTTACATGATGTCCTCATGTAGCTGGAAACCAGAGTGAAACTCTCCTGCTTGAAGCTTTAGTCTGCTTATATCCCATTTGTGGGATGGGAGCCCATTTTTGTTCCAGGTAACATGGGTAGCTCTGCTCCTCACACAGAACCTCTCTTGCCAATCTGCTGTTATTAGGGCAAGAATAAAGGCTGAGGTGATGTATAACATGGCGTAAGTGGAATTAGTCTCCATTCACTCACTCACCAACATCCTCACAGAGGACAGACTTGAACTACTACAAGAACAGATGATAAACCTAGGAGAACTGCTATCAGAAATACCATGCATGTTATATTCCCATGGAGAAGCAACGTACCAGTCTCCATTTCTCTGAAATCTCCATTTTATGTTTTTAAAGGAGGTAAAAAATAGTTAGCCTCTCCCTGCCAAAATGTACGGGTTAAGAGGCCTCATGCTCTACTTAACTGGGACAATATCCTGATTGAACTGACTTCGGGCTTTTACTTTCACTATTTTTTCGGAGCTAGTGCATCACTAATACATCTTTTCCACAGCTATGTAGGCATCTCAGTTTCTTCTCAGTGATCTGCTTTTTTCTCTTTTTTTCATGTCTGTATTTTTATCTTCCTTTCGGTAGGGAGGAGGAGTTTTCTCCAGCTAGTCCTACATGATGAAGTACAGATTGGCTCTGCAAAGTGCCAGTGTTAAGCTAGTGGATCTAATGTCACAGGGCGAAGCAAGTTCCTACGAATACACTGAGACTTTGGAGTTCTAGCAAAACCATTGCTCCCTTGTGACAACAGCAGAAAAAAACAGATCATCAGTAGCGATTGCTACTAGTAGCATCTTGAACATCTTCCAGTTGCATGTCTCTGCACACAGGAACCTCCAGGTCTTTTACTTGGCTACTTTCAACACAGTCTTGAGTCAAGTCAATCGTTGAGCAAAATCAATGGACACTAAGATTTTCTTCCTAGGAGATGCTGGAAGACATCTACCACACACTGGGTTCCATTTTGTCTTCCAAGTGCTACCTTGTTCAGAGGCTCATCCTCTGTATTTTTACCACTTTTCAGAAGAGTAACAACTTGCTTTTATGTGTGCGCTTGATATTCTCTCTCACTGTGGATTGTCAGTCATCAGATATGGATAAAGTGCAATTTTAACAACCTATTAATTCTCTAGTTCTTGTTACAAAGAAACATCTAACGAACTCCTCTGCTCATTCTGTCCAACATCCACAGAGAATAGGTGTATGCTGCCAGATAGAGCAATCCCCCTTACAACTTCAGTAAGAGGATACGTTCTTCAAGGTCTTTTATTTAGGAAGAGGAGTAAAATGTTAAGAAGCGCCAAGATTTTTCTTTTGTATATAAATCCATTCACTTTTTATTTCTGGGGTCATGCACCGCTGAGGTATGTGGTAAGGAAATAGCATCTTGAACTTGCTTTATATTGAAAAATGAAACAGATCTTCAATATTCCACTGAGAAGAGGGTGTGCATCGTTTCTTGAGAATAAGCCCTTTGTGTCTCTATTATTTTTACAATGCACTTTAATGACCTGAAAGCACGTGTGTGCCTTCTTAAATCATCACATACAAAACTACATTCTGACTGTAAAATATATTAAGAATCTTATAGAGGAAGTTATGCCATGTGTGTTATTTTTTGTTCCCTGCTTTCAAAGATAGGATGAGTTTTGCCCATATTACAAGGACAACGTTCAAAAAAATGAAAAAATAAGGTGGGAAGGGAAAGATTTTTATTTTTTTTTTAAAGAATAAATCCTAACCCTAGACATCAGTGTTAGAAAGTCACCCTTACCAGATGGCTAATACAGACAAGGGAAAATAGCCAACTTGATTTCAAATGTGAGAGTGATTTTTAAAATGAATGATAGAAACTACTTCAGATTCATTATTTTAAGCAGGGAAACTCATGTGTTTAGCTTATGGGTCTGGTTTGAATAAAAGTTTGTCTTTCTTGAATGGAAATCAGATGTGATTCCAGGCAGTGGCCTGAACCATTTGCTAATACTAATTGTTGCTGGTTGAAAGTAGGGTAGAAGATTGTTAAAGTCTTCCCTGGCAGTAACTTGATCTGTGGAAATGTACTTTACAGGAACTGTGATGAGGTTTACAGCTGGCAAATGCTTGTGATAGGATGGCCACATGACTTTACATCTCCTTTTATTAAAAGAATAAAAGCTCATGTGACACAATTTTGGTAGGATGGCAGGGATTGTGTGAACTGAAATGGGGTTATATATTTTTTATAATACACATTTTTTATATTGTTTTATAAACATTTCACATTTTGAATGATACTTGATGATGTGGCTATTTTGAAATAATATTATCACCAGCTGAGACCAGATGGGCTGTTGAAATTCTCACATGAAGCATCAGTGGTAAATAAAGAACTGTCATATTATAATCATATCAGTTTATCCTCAACCAGTCTCAACAGAAGCCTGATCAATTGATAAATACTTTGTTGATAAGGAAGAGCTCTAGACTTAGTTAAATAGATAAAATGTTATTATTCTGGATAATATACATGTTAGCACAATTATGCTGGTAAGTTCCAGATTGAAACCTTAACCTCTGTTTCTGAAACACAAGGGTTACACAATTCTCTACCTTTACCCACAACCCGTAGTGAAGCATTGCCGTTTGAATTCACATCCAAGCTGGCAGCATTTTCCTAATATGAGATACCCAAGGCATGATTTAACTGCTTAAAATAGGTCTTAGAGACCTTCAAAATGCCCCATGTGTCTGAGACATCCCTGAAGGTCACTGCAGTGCAGGACCCACCATACTCCACATCCCCTCCTGCCCAGATAGCCTATCCTAGCCCTCCAGTATTCATCCACCTGTGAGAACATCCCACAGCATCACTAAGAGTGGAAGGAACCAAAGTTTGAAGCACTGAATTGATTCCTTTTTTCTGCAGTATATATGTGCCAAAATTCGGAATCAGGCTCTCCACAATTTGGCTGTGGAGCAGAGAGTAGCTGTGGGCTTAACAACACCTTTCTCCCACTGGATGGCCATCTCTTCTTCCTTATGGGAAGCTTTCTAGATGTGTTAGAAAATCTTAAACTTTGTGGAAGGGATGAGTGGCATTTGGTTGGTGTTAATACAGAAAACATGCCATTCACAAGCTCATCCAGAACAATTTCAGCCTGCAGTTCCAGTCTGAGCATCACATGCTTATTTTCATTGCACATCCAATCAGTATCAATGTGTTTTCTGAAGATTTGTCATGCTCAGCTAGATGGAAAGTATTCTTTTCACTAATGTTTGCATTGTTTCACATCTGGTTCTTAATATTTCTCATGCTATTGTCAGTGGAATTGTTCTACCATTTCCTTTCATGATGTGCTTGATGGCTGTTCTGGAAAATAGTTTTCTTACAGGTTCAAGAAGATGCCGTTGGGTATATTTTCCATTTGGCAAACTACAAAAGTAACATTTGCAGTTATAAACACCTGACTAGACTAACATATATCTTGTGTAACTTTCTTCAGAGAGATGCATACAGCATAAATAACATGTAAACAGCTTTCTACAAGTTAAAATGAATGCATGGGAAAAAAAGAAGAAAAAAAAAAAAAAAAGGCAAACCAAGACTCCTAAG